GGGCAGGGACACTCCACTGGACCAGTTTGCTCCAAGCCCCATCCAACGTGGCCTTGGGCATCTTGGAAAGGAAGTGTCTGCTTGGTTGGACTTGTATTTCTCTTGGTGGTTCAAACATGAGAATAGGGGTTTAGGAATGAGACAAAAGTCCTGAGAAGAGAGTCTTTTAAAGTGTGATGTTTTTCTGAACATGCAGGGGTCGGTGTGCCTGTGGAATGACATGTGAAGGTACAATATTGTGTCACAGGGAGCTCCTCATGCAGCAATAAAATCCTTAACCTCTCTTCTCTGCTGCTTCACACCTTTGTCTAACTAAAGTGGAGGGAGAAATGAGAAATTTAAAAGTCACAGCCTGAAATATTATTGGGTTTTTACTGTTGTTTTTTTTTAAGGAAATACTTGGACAGTTTTTTTGGAAAATGGCCTTGATGATCCTAGAGGTCCTTTTCAACCCTAACAGTTCTAAAATGGAGTTAAAATAGAAAATTATTGGAGTAAAAGCAACTGTATTTCTTCAAGAGGGGATATTCCCTGTTAGGTTTTTGCATAATCCTGCATTAATGACTAGGGAGCTGGGATTTATGTGGCTGGTTCTGGATGTCTGGAAGTTGTCAGTCTTGGCCAGGCTCAGAATTCCAAGAAGGGGGCTCATCCTGCTGCAGTGGCACGGTTTGTTCTGTGCTGCCTGTGTGTCCTCCTCTGCTGCCTTCTCCCCTGCCTGTCCTTCCCAGCTGTTCCCAAAGGCAGCCTGGACAGCCAGGGGTGAGCTCCTCCACCTGCACTTTATCTGATGCCTCAAAGCAGCCTTTACCCTTCTGTCACTCAGGTCTGCATTTTCCATGAGTGTCCCAAAGCTGCTGGCACTGCATGCTGAGGCAGAGCTGGGGCAGTCAGTTTTCCGTGCTCCTGGAGCTCCCTTGTGGCTTTGCTATGTGTGGAATTCAGTGAGGAGCAGCATTTCAGGTGCTCTGGGCCATTGTCCAGCCCCAAGGCCTGGCCTGTGGGACCTGCACCCTACTGCTCTGTTTTGGGAAAATGCCAGAGCCAGAGGGGGGCTTGGTGGGAGGCCTTGTGCCCCAGGCTGAACAAACACTTCTGGTTCCAGTAATGTGCTAAGAAAATATAATAAAATAAAACACAGCACAAGCAAGTCTTACAAAACCCAGGGAGGGAACATGACAAAATATTAAAAAAAAAACCCAAACAAAAGAAACAACAACAAAAAAAAAAACCCAAAAAACCAAAAACACCCAACACGATGATAGGAAAGGAAATATACCTCATGTGAGGATGAATCAAAATGTTTTGAAAACCATAGAACTTCTGCTTCCTCGTAATGGCAGAGAATGAAGCAGTTAACGAGCCCTGGGAGATGCAATAAACCTTTCAAACCAGCTGAGGGATGCTCTGGAAGAACTTGAATTAATTCCTTTGGCTGCTGTGATGATGAAATGTGCTGGGGTCCCCTTTGGTGAGGCATCCACATTTCCAACCTTTGCACTTTGTCTCCTGGAACCACCTGGTGCTGGAGATAGTGGAGGGAGGGAGAGGTGATTGCTTTTGGAATGGGAGGCATGTGCAGTGTCCAGTGCAGAGGTGGGAGGTCCCAGGCAGCACCTGGCAGTGGATTTTAGCTGCCTGCAGCTGAGGCAGTGACTGCACTGCAGGGACGTTTTCTGGAGTCACTGGCTGAAGACCCCATGGCTCAGAAGGACTAAAATCACACTGAGGATCAGTGATTTTTGTCACCTGCCTGGGAACATGGCACTGGAAAGGGCTGTGTGCTCAGCTGGATAACCCAGGGACCAGTTCTGTGCTCAGAGGTTCCCTGGATGAGGCTGCAGGAATATCCTGAGTGTCACCCTGTACCCACTCACTGCTCCTGCCTTTCCCCAAGCTGCTGGGCATTGCCAGGAGCCAGGTGCTGACCCGGGGGGCCTTTATGGCTCTTAATGCAAACCATGTGTGCCATCCAGTCTGGTTGTTGTAATTGCAGGAAACCACAGGAATTAACTGCCAGTAGTAGAACTTTAGTGTTGCTGCTACTGCAGCCTGTGGTGTGGAAATCTCCTTTGGTTCCCTGCTGGGATGAGGCTGAGGTACCTGTCTGATTCAAACCTGGGTTGTAGTTTGGGATCTAGAAGCCAAAATCAGTTCCTGAACTGAGAAGTTCACCTGCAGGGGAGGGATTTCTGCAGCAGATGGACACAAGTACCTGGAAAAGTCACAGTGTGATGTCAGAGGCTGCTGTAGGTGATGGTCTGGGCACACTTGACATTTGCAAAATTAAGTCTTGGCTTGTGCTGTCATCCTGCCTTTTCCTTCTGAGGGAGCAGTCACTGTTCCCTCCATGTGTGGATGTACATCTCTAAAATAGGCATTAAAGGGCAGAGGGAGGTTAAACACACACCCAATGGCCAGGTGTCATCTTTGTCCAGAAATCTGAAAAATGAAGTCACCATTCCAGAAAAGGCCCCTCAGGTACAATTTTAGCCCTACTTGAATTTCAGTCCCTTCTCCAACTGTGCAGAATTCCCCCAAAATATCCTTGGTGCTGGTATGGTATATTTAGCTTAAAGAACAGATTGTCTTGGTAACCAGATGAGGAAATGCTTGGAACAAGCCTACTGGGATCTTTTCAGGGTGTATTAATTGCTCTCACTGTGCCCAGGCTCTCCAATGACAAAAGAGAACTTGAGGCAGAGCACTGATGCTGCAGCCCTTGCCTTCCCTTTGGCTCCCAGTCACTGCAGGCTTCCTGCTGGGAGTGGGGCAGGCAGGGAGACTGCTGTTTATTTATCTGCCTCTTGGTGTGTTTGCTTCTTAGTTTATTTGCATTTTGATGTACTTATTTCATCGAGCTCTACAGATTCCAGGGGACCCCTCCTGTGGCTGCAGTATGGATCATTAAGGTCTTTGGGATTTCCAGCTTTAGCAGATCTTGCCACAGCACTTCAGAGCTTGGGAAAACTCCTTTGCCCGATCCTCTGGGACTCCTGCATGTAGGAAATGCTGCTGATGGGGGCTCAGGACCTGTGCAGGTCACTGTGAGATGTGTGATCTCTGGCCCATTGTAGTGGGACAGACACACAGGGACATCCCAAAGGTCTTGGTTCAGGTGTGTCTGGCAGTCTGGGGTGCTCTTCTCCCACAGGGATCAAGCACCACTGGCTGTGTCAGCACACAGAGCCTTGTCCTTGTCCTTGGCTGCATGGGATGGAGCTGTTCCACCCCTGCTGCCCTGCACAGCTCACACCTGGGCCCCACTCATCTCCCAGTGCTGTAGTGAGTGCAGTACAATGCACACTTCAGCCCTTTCTGGCCACTGCTTGAGTAGGATAGAACTCCTTCCCTGTCCACTTCCAGCCTTAAAAACTTTCTCCTTCAAGAGATGTTGAATCTTTTTGAATAAAGGCTTAAGTGTTGTCCTCCAGAAATGTTTTTGAGACACTAGGAGAATTCCAGGCCTCGTGTTGCACCTGCTCTGTTGGGATCTGTCTTTGTAGGTAACTGATGGCCGTGTCCCCAGCGTGCTCTGGGTGTGTGTTTGGTGCCTGTCCCAGCTCAGATGGTTCAGGCTGTGTCTGTTGGTTCCTGAAGCCATCAGCTCTGGTCCTCCTTGGAGCTCACAGATGCTGAGGTAGCACGAGGCTTCACCTCCACTGGTTTTTGTTCCTCAAAAAAGCAGCACTTGGTTCCCAAGGCTCTTGGCTTAATGTACAAGGGCTCTGCTCACTTCAAAGTCTGCCCTGGCTGGAAAATGGTGAGAGCTGCTGTACATCCCTGGGAATATAACACTGGAGCCTGGCTGGCTCTTGGAGCATCCCAGGTGCAGGCTCTGATCTGCTCCAGCTGAGCCTGTGGCTGACATGCTGCAGGATTTACAGCTTTCACCTGTCCTGTGCTCCAGTGTACAGCAGACATACCCTTATCCTGGGATACACCTGCTGATTTCCAGGGAACCGTCTGAAATATGCCATTCCTCCAGCTGTGAGGGTGTGCTGCAGGCTGGGAAAGCAGCCCTGTGGAGGCTGGGGGAAGCACAGATTCAAGTGCAGCAGCACTTGGGAGCACTGCCTGGCAGATGGCATTGGCTGCGTGCTGTAAGGGGATTTGCCACATGACCTGCTCTAATCTGTGTCACATGGCACAGTGATCACACCTGGCATCTAAACAACACACTGGGATCAGCTGCTGCAAAAAGGTGCCTGCCAGAGGGATCCACAGGGATCTCAGCTTTTTCCATGGAGGTTTGCTGATGCTCATAGGAGCTCCAGCCTGATTTTCTCTCTGTGTTTGGGGCAGTTTTGCTGCCTTTTGTAAATGCAGTGATTTGCTCCTCCTCAGGCTCAGTCGGGTGGACACACAGTTCCAGCACTGGTTGTGCATGAGCCTGGGAAGCCAGCTGGAAGGAATGGGGTGGTGAAGCGGCTGCAATATTAACTTGACACCTAATTATATCCCCTGGGCTGATTTTTCCATTCTGTCATGCCCTGCTCTGTCTGCACTTTCTGTGAGTGTGGCATTCTCTGGAGCTCTCCATATCCAGCCGTGCTCCAGCAGACATTTGGGATGAAATTATCAGTTGCAAAAGCTCTCCTGTCTGTGCTGCCAAAAGTAGCATCTCCCTGATGTTTATATTTCCTTAAACCAAGCAGGATACATTAATCCTGTATAGATTTGAAAGATTGTATTTATTCCATTTTACAGCTCTTCTGGAATGGGATTTCACACCACAGTTCCCATGGGAGTTGTCATGGGACCTGCACTGTCTCTGACCAGAACTGGCTTTTTTTTTCCTGATTCATATCTTGGCATTCCCCTGTTAAAGCAGGAATGCCTCTGACCAGTTTCCACATCCACTCCTGAAGTTACATTTCCTACAGGCTTTCTCCCCTAAGGAGGAGCTGAAGCCATGGCCCAGGTAGGAATAGTTTATGGCACCTGCCAAGAGCACAGCCTGAAGCAGGACTTTACTAACCCCGGGTGTTGTTGTTCAGTGCCCCAGGTCCTCAAGAGCTGCACGGAGTTCATCGAGAAGCACGGCATTGTGGACGGGATATACCGGCTGTCGGGGATCGCCTCCAACATCCAGAAACTGCGGTAAGGGCCAGCCCTGGAGCCCTGGCACACCTGCCCTGGAGCCCTGGCACACCTGCCCTTACAGCCCTGGCATGGGCAGGGCACATCCCGGCCTTCCTCTGGCACGTTCATCCTGCAGGGTGCAGTGGCAGGCTCCTGGTGTCACTCATGGTGCTGTCACGTTTCCTTTCCGTTCCTCCTTGCTCCGGGAGCCCTGTGGAGCAGCTGATGTTTGTCCCTGCTGCCTTGGGCTCCTGCCTTTACCAGCAGCTCATTGGGAATGTGCAAAGGATGCATGCCTGAGTCTGGTGGGAAGGGCCAGGAGTGTGTTCTGGTTAGGAGTTGTTCCCACCACAGCAAACTTCCTTTACTCTTTCATGAGGCTGTTTTCCTGCTGTTGTTTGGTGTGGAATGTTCTGTTGTGGAGCTCTGTGTGCCAAGTGGATGTGGCTCATTCCAGCCCTGCTCCTGGGCCCGTGGCCTGGCAGGGGCAGCACAGAGCTATTTGCCATGGGCAGAATACCTTTTTTACCTTCTTTGTACCAGCTGTCCCCTAGCTCAGTGGGCAGGTTTGAGCTGGTACTGTGACTGTTCAAACCATTGGATGGATGGGTTTGTTCTGGTTCAGATTAATCCTGTTTCTTATCTCAGCAAGTCCTGTTTTAAAAATCTGGTCCCAAGGTTTTTATATACAGGATCCAAAGGCTCTGACTGGAGCTGTGACTGAATAAAACATTTGCCATTTTTTCAGTTATATCCCTTTATTCCCCATTTTGACTTGTGCTGGACCATCCTTCTAATCTCTGTCCCAGTCCATTTTTCCCATTTATGTTGCCAAGACCATTTTCTCCTTCATTGTGTATCAAAGGTGCTTTAAAAATGCTTTTCTAAAATTGTAATGACATCATTCCCTGTTCCAGTGCAGAGAATGAAATGACAGCCTGTTTTCCAGGTTTCTGAGATGTTCCAAAGACAAAAGGAAGGGAGTACATGGCATAACTTGTTGACACTGTCCTGTTCATGTAAATCACTACAGATTTGGAGTGTTTTGATGAACATAGGACATGTGTTGCTGCAGTTCCCAGCTGTATAAACAGGGCGTTCGGTTCATTCCAAAGCTGGGGCTGCAGTATTCTTATAAATGAGTCACTGTGCTTAGGTTTCCCGTAGAAGAACTGGATCTCCTGAATTTAAAGGGCTTTTTGGTTGGAGAGAAGGTTGGAGAATTTATTCCACATGGGAGATTTCCATAGGACAGAGGTTGCCTCTTCAGCTGGGTGGTAGCTGCCTTAATTTGGCAGGTGGGCAAACAGCCACTGTTGATTTGGGGTGTTTATCCTTGCTCTTTCTGATGGCTGTGGAGTTGTTCTTCACCTAACAAAATCTTCCTTTGGGTCAGAAGGAATAACATGTAGCTCTGGAAACAGCCAGTGCAGAGAGAGAAGGAGGGTTGAATGCAGTGGGATATCCCTCTCTTTCCTGCATATTCACTCTGCAGGGGAACCTCTGACAATAAATGTGAATAAATTTCCTTTATTCCTAGGAAAAACCACTGGAGTAGGGCAGGATATGGGCAGGGAGTTTGAGCCAGGGCTGAGTGTGTTTGTGTGGGTGGGCTGGTGCCTTGCTGAGCTTTTCTGTAGAGCCAAGTGCAGGATCTGAGTTTCTGTCCCAGACGTGAGCAAGGGGTGAGTCAGAAGGTGCCTGAGGAAAGTGGTGTGTGCTGGATGTGGAAAGCTGAATCCTTCCTGCCTCCTGTGCTGTCTTCAGGGTGAGGAAGGGATGGGCTGCTCACCCTGAGCAGGTGGGGACCTCTCCTGCCCCTTGTCTAGGGGCAGGGAAAGGTTTCCACAAGCAGTGTCCGTGTGCAGGGATGGAAGGAGCTCGTCCTGATCCCAGGAGGGCTCAGTTACAAACACACCTGGTCCCTGGGCACATCCTGCTCCTCAGGCAGAGCTCAGGGGTTGTGTGACCCTCTGGGCACAACCTGCCAGCTTTGGGTGGGGGGCAGGACAGGACAGGGACAGGCCACCACACCCAGACCCAGCTGTGGTTGCAGTGCTGACGGGATGAGTCCCCATGGCTGTGAGCAGCCTAAAAACTCTGGCAGGGACCCCGAGGTTCTGCAGCTCCCAGGGCCTGGCTCACCACTCTCATCCCCCTGGAGTGTGCTGCTAATTGGAAACAGCACTTGCCAGCACATACTGCAGCAGCAAGCCAGCCCTTGGCCTTCTGAGCTCAGCTTTTATTTCATAAACATCAGTGATTAGGGTTTTTTCTCTCTCTGAAAACCAAGGGAGTGCTGTGAGGTTTTCTTTATGTGGCTCCTGGCTGTCTTCTCCCTATAGCAAAGGCAGGCTCAGCTCACCAGCTCATCCCCCAGGAATTCCTGCACTCGCTGGTTACCATGTGCTGCCAATGGAAGTGCTGCTGGCAGGGCTTTTATCATTGCCATTTCCAGGCATTGGAAATGCAGAGTGGACAGCAGCTTTCATCATTCCTATGGGCAATCCCAGTCACAGCTCTTGGGAGTTAAACTTGTTCTTGTGGTCTTGGAGAATGTTCTCTGGAGACTTTGTGAAAAGCCCTGATGCAGCAAAAAGGATTGCAGCCAGTTGGTTGTAAAACTAACTAAAAATGCTGTACTAGAAAAAAAGAAAGTCTCTTTTTTGGAAAATATCTCCACTGGCTGCCCCACAGCCGTGGGTCATGTGGCTTTGGTGACTTTTTTTTCTTTTTTCCTGTAAATCATGAAAGCCTTGCTGTAATTTGTGCTGGGTTTGATTTCATTGTTCTCAAACCCCTTTACTCATTTCTCTGTTCTCATTGCCAGCCACGAGTTTGACTCGGAGCAGATTCCCGACCTGACCAAGGACATTTACATCCAGGATATCCACTGTGTGGGCTCCCTGTGCAAGCTGTACTTCCGTGAGCTCCCCAACCCCCTGCTCACCTACCAGCTCTACGAGAAGTTCTCAGTGAGTGCAAGGCCATTGTGGGGCACTGTAACAGTGGTGGGGGTTTTGCACCACTTAATGAGTGGTTTGTCTCAGTCTCTTTTGCCGTCACTCAGAGCCAGGATTAAAAAATACACGAAGGAAACAGATTTTCTCATGTTCAGGCTTGGTTGTTTATTAAATCTTATCTAAAATACAGAAAGTTCAGCAACATTTCTGGCCACTTGCTAGAAGTGAGCAAAATGGAGAAAGAGGCAGCTGCTACAAGGTCTCTTGAAGCTAAACAGTCCAATAGAGAATTAACACCTATATTATTTATACTTTTAACCCAATAACTAAATTCTCATGACCCTCAGTGTGACACTGACTGACCAACCAGAAACCACTGCCTGAAATCATGAAGCAGAAGGAAGATGAACAAAGAAAGAGAAAATCCTCCCAAAATCCTCCACCTTGTCCCATACCTATTACTGTACTGTAAAACCTCAAATTTAAAACCCTTCACCATGTGAAATCACACACTTCTATTTCACTACACACCTGTGATTTTAACTCCATCACTCAAATTTGGAAGCTTCTCCAAGGCCTCAGGTCCAAAGCAGTGTTCTCCAGGGGTCAGTGCCTGACAGCACAGAAAGCTCAAAACCCCCAGGTTTCTGGGATCCAACAGGGCACTTCCCTCTTCAGTGGGGCTTCAGCTGCTGGAGCAGAGAAATCCTGGAAGCTGGGCCTGCCTTCCACACACTCCCCTCTCTGCTCTGCCTCAGTTGGGGTTTTTAGAGCCATCAGAAGGATGTGTCACCGAAATTCCCACACTGACACCGTGCTGCCCACATTCCTGATTCCATCCTGCCATTCCAGAAAGGGCTGGCAGTGCCCTGGGGTCTGAGGGGCCTTTTGTGTGTCCCCCTCAGGTTACTCAGAGGTGCCTTTGTCTCCTGTGCCACACTCTGTTGGTTCCACTTGTGGGGCCCCAGCAGAAGGTCCCTGGCACCCTTCCCATGCTTTGCAGGATTTCCCCTCTCATTTGCCATTTCCCAGGAATGAGACTGAAAGCAGATGCTGCTCTGAGCTGAATGTCTTCTGCAGGAATTCTCTGTGCCATTAACATGCCCCAGGTCATGACTTACTTGGCCTCCCTTACGTGATCCTTAGGCTGCTCTGTCCCCCAGACAGACCCTCACCCAAGGGGGAGAAGAGCAACAAAACCCACCTGGCTGCCAAGACTGGCAGTGCTGGGGGTTTCTTTGCAGCTAAATCCTTTCCTGCCTCATTCCAGGATGCTGTTTCTGCTGCTACAGATGAGGAGAGGCTGGTTAAAATCCACGATGTGATACAGCAGCTGCCCCCTCCCCACTACAGGTGAGTGCAGCCTTAGGGGTGCTGTGGGCATTTTGTGAGAGGAATTCTGTAATTCCAGTTTCACTCTCAAGACAGCCACACTGTGCCTCTGCATATCAAAATTATTATGGCTGTAGAAAGTTGATTTATATTTTAATTAGCTCCTCACTAAACACTGTACACTAAACATGGTCTTGCTTCCTTGGAAGCTCTGTCTGGGAGGGAAATAGGAGCTTGTTATGTCAGAGTAAGGAAACAGTTTTCTTGTGGGGGGCACAATACCAGTGCTAAGTGCACTTGAAAAATTGAAATATAGCCAAAAAACTGCTCGCCTTCAGTCAAACTTGGTCAACTGTATTTTGTCTCCAGTTTGCCTCTCCCTTCAGGAATAGTAACGAGCAAATGACAACAGTGCTCTGAGAATAACTGATGTAATTAATTATATTAGTGTTATATGTTAGAGTAGCATAATATGGTGTTTAAAAATCACCAATTAAAATACTACATTCAGGCTAATTAGTTGTAATAAGAACTTGTGCTATATGGTAATGATTCTTGACTAAGAACAACAACATTTTAATAGTCTTTAATATTAAAAATTATGGCAGGGCATGGTGAAAAGGCATCAGACAAATTGGTATTAGTGATTGGCTTTAATAACTATATTGATACTGTATGTTAATGAGACTTTAATATTAATAATGAGTGATGCATGATAAGTAGCATTCACTAATTGTGAATTGTAATTGGCAGAAACAGCTGATGACAGCATATGGTGGAAGTTGTTTATTTATTTAGTTACCCATTACAGATGGGTAACTATTGTCAATGGCTGGGCCAGCTCCCCAGAGTGTCCAGTGACCATTTGGGGGAATGCAGGTAGTATTTGGCTGTTAATACTTAATGAAAATACTTCATTACAGTCATCAGTTGATTACTGCAATGTATGTTAATCTGCAGGTGAACTTAGAATTCTGGTCTAGGGGTCAGGTGTAACACATGAGGACAGCTATTGATAATATTGATATTGATATTTATAGGAATTTCTGCCAATAAGTGTTTAAATTTCAATTACTGTGATGTGTGGTGATTAGCTGGACAATTATTGCAGTGCTGCAATGAGTGGTATAAATTATGAAAGGTAACTGGGATTTAACTGATGTGTTATAAACTACAATTATGTTACTTGCTCTTTAAATAAAGTTGGCTAGTTGGTGCAACAGCTGCTACTTGTAGTAACTAATGGCAATATTGATGTTCATTGAAGGGGTGTGGCCCTTTCCAAAAGGAACTGATCTTCTTTTCCATTCACCTTTTCCCTGAAATGATTTTTACTTTCTGGGGTTGGTTAAACTGGGGTGCTGGTACCAGCAGCACATCAGTCTCAGAGAGGGGGCACAGCCAGCAGCTGGCTACAGAATGCTGAAGGTCACAGGGTGCTGCTCTTCTCTCCTGGGGTTTGCTTGGAAAAAGGAACAAACACCTTATATTTCTGCTACTCAGTGATGAGGAGTTGCACGCAGGAGGTTTGTTTGGTTTCCAGCCAGAGCCATTTTCTTCACTTCCAGTCTTGTTTATTTGTGGAATTTTGAGCCCCAAAGCTCAAAGCCCTCTCTGCTCCATCTCACTTCCCCTATCCCAAAAGGATAGACTGAGACAGACACAAGCCAGGGGGGGCACCAGGAGGGTACAGCAGCATTTTCACTTTCACCTCCTGCTCCCTCCTCCCCAGCACACATGAAACAAAACAATGCTCAAATATACAGAACTCACAATTTTTTCATGTGAACAGAAGCCTCTGAAGTTTAACCTTCTGTCTGCCTTACTCTAAGAAACTGCAGCCAGAACCTTCCCAAGTAGAACTCAAGTGCACTTGGCTGGATTTCAGTATCCTGGGGTGTCTAAATCAATGCACCCCCATCCCAGGATCAGCATTCCACATCCTTCCCCACACATCCCTGAGCAGACCTCACAGCTGTCACACTCCTGCAAAGGGGTTTGTTCTGGAACTGTCCTTTCCTAGAGCCTGGACAAGTCAGGAGACAAGACTCAGTCACCCCAGGCTGTGTCAGCATTGCCCAAGCCAGGTCCACTATGGGGTGAGGGGAAGGAGTTCAGTGTTCCTTTCTGGGAGCTGTCAAACCAAAAGGAAATAATGAGCTGGGTTTGTGCTGTGGATCACAGCCTGGCTTTGCTCAGTGGTGCTGAACATTTGCCTCTCTCCTGTTTTCCAGGACACTGGAGTTCCTAATGAGACATTTGGCTCGTCTGGCTGATTATTGCTCCATCACAAATATGCACACCAAGAACTTGGCCATCGTCTGGGCTCCAAACCTCCTCAGGTACTCTGGGATTTTCCCATTTCAATACAAGATATATGTTTACATTCATAAACAACAGATACTCCAGAAAATCCCAGCTTTCAGCAGCTGGAAAGAACTCTTCCTTTCTTCACCCAGTGTACTCTTCTCCTCCTGTAAAACATGGGAAATTATTCTAAGCAGGATTTAAGATCTGCTGGCAAGTTCCTGACCTAGTGATGTAAAACAGCCCCTGTATTATCCTGTCTCACACAAAACAGTTCCACTGGCTGAAGTTCTGTTAGTAGTGACAAGAAAGAATTCTCTCAACCCTCTTTTAGAGGATAATTTCTCCTCTTCTGGTTAGATGAGACTGATGTGTCCTTGATCATCGAAGAAAATTTCTACAGTACCATCACTGATCTCCTACTGCTAAGTCTCTAGAATGTAATTTGACAGCTTTTGGCTGCAGGAATTGAAACTTAGAGAAATGATCTTGGATAAATCTGTTTTGAATGTGCATGATAGGGCACTTTAAAATTAATGGTGTAACTTAAAAATTTAGCTTTAAAAGAAAAAAATAATATCACCCTGCCCTTTATTGTACTGATTTCCTAACTGGTCTTGTTATTTTCCGAACTGCTCGTGTTAGCAACCTGAGAAATCTTGAGTGTGCAGTACATCAGGGAATCCCAGAAGGGTTTTTGCGTTGAGAGAGATATTAAAGCTCATCCAGTGTCACCCCCTGCCATGGGCAGGAACACCTTCCACTATCCCTGGTTGCTCCAACCCCTGTCCAGCCTGGCCTTGGCACTCCCAGTTCATACAGGTGGGCTCTTCTAACTGGCAGTTGTCCCACGAGCAGTGGAGTGACCTCGTGTTTGAGTTTTCTTTGGAGAGTCCTGGGGCATTCATTCAGCAGGATCAGTTGGAGACACTCCCTTCTCCAGGGAAAATCCTCTTAGAGGCCACAGAAGGTTTGTACAACAGCATTGCCTTAAACTGTGGCAGTCATGGAAATGAGTTAACAAAAAGCTCTTCACTTTGGGTGTTCAGTGTATTAACCTCAATTCAGACCTGTCCCACTCCCTTTTCCTCCCAGCCCAGTGTTCCTCTTGCCCTGTCAGTAAGGCTTGAACCTGGATCTGAAGTGTGGCCATAAATCCCCCCAGTCAGTGATCATTTGTGAGCATTGCTGAGATTTAAGCCCAGAACTGCCCTGCAGCCTCATCTGCCTGAGTCCCAGGCCCTGCAGCCCCCCAGGAGGCCAGGCCTCACCTCAGGAGCTGTTCCTCACCTGGTGTCCCTTTGCAGGTCCAAGCAGATCGAGTCTGCCTGCTTCAGTGGCACGGCCGCCTTCATGGAGGTGCGGATCCAGTCGGTGGTGGTGGAGTTCATCCTGAACCACGTGGATGTGCTCTTCAGCTCCAAGCTCAGCTCTGTCATCAGGGATGGGGCAGGTATGTGTGTGTGCTTCACTGGGGTGCATGGGGCAGGTGTGTGTGTG